ATCACCATTTGAAACCTTAATAAATAATAATCAAGTGAGCAAACAAAATAACTTCTATATTAGTGAACTAGTTTGTAAATTTACGATAGATTGGGGTGACTTAAATGATATTTCTGTTCTTATGAATAAATAAATGTTATTAGCAAGTGGATGTATACCAATTCACGATGGTCATTAGCAAAGGTGTTTATCCTTGAGATTTGAGAGAATAGTATTCGAATCATTGCACTCTGACTATTTTAAGTATCTTTAATGGTAAAAATACTCGATTCCTCTACATGTTACATAAAGTAATACGAGTTTCAATCCAAAATTTCCGGTTATATAAAAAGACAACATATACACGTCTAGATATATTTACTTTGTAGATGTATATCATCCTATGGATGATAACCAATCTCTTGTTTGTACGCTTCTTTATAAGATTTTCTCGATCAACGGTAAAATCAAAATATATAGATGAAAAAAAAAAAAATGATAACCAATCATGTTATAGTTTGGGGGTTCTATAATTAGTAAATTATAAATTAAAAAATGGAGAAAGTGGTGTAGTCATAGCTACTTTGGTATAATTGGAGTAAAGAGCTATTGCCTTAAAAGGGGACAGTAGCTTTGGTGACTCAACCTAGTTTGCCAACCAGATTCACAATCCAAACACGTGGCACAAACCCCATTTCGTCATATTTCCAAGTTAGGATTCTTGGGTTTTGGGACTTTTACGGCTTTCAAGACGAACCTAATTCTTCTCCCATTCTTTAAACACCCAAATATCTTCTACTTGGCGAATTTTCATTGCTTGAACATGCATGCTTTTAGTTTTTGTTTATGGACCTCCTTTATAAATTATTACTTATAAAGGACTCTCCATGGTTTCATAAATAATATTTTTTTGCAGATGATAGTATTTGTTACGAAAACTGTTGGCGAAATGTGTTTTCCTGTTTTGGATACTAATTAATTATAAAATTAGGTATCGAAGCAGCAGGTGAGATTCAAAACGTAATCAATGTTTTTTCTTCCTATGTATCAATTTTCAATCTTTGGAAAACATATATTATAATCTAAAGAAAGATAAGAGATTGTCCGCCTTCTACTTTGAGAAAGTAAATCGGCCCGTTTGGTCGTTCTAATCACCATTCCTAGGGACGTCTGTAAAGGGAAATCCTCCAATTATCATGTCGAAACTATATTTATATCATGTACTATAGTCAGATAGATTTTTGGTTAAAGCATGTACTATATATTGATACACTCATTTTTAATTAAAGCTTTATATATAGGGTAGGGGATGTGACTATTTTTTATACACTATAGTGGCGTAAATCTTGGTCGATTCATTTATACTTTGGAACCCTCCAATTAACATGTATAAATAACTTGAAAAAAATTCGATGCACTATTTTCAATGGAACAATGGGAGAAAAAAATGGAATTATGGAAGCAATTTCAAATATATTTTTTTCCCCAAATTCATGTTGAGAATTATTCATATATTCAAGTTAACGTTAATAACTTGACACGAACAAAATATATGAAAATAATATTCTTTTAGCAAATTAAAGGTAATTGGTTGGCATGAAACATTGTAATTGACGCTATGTATGTAGCTTCCATCTTAATTTTTGAACTACCCCGTAGTCAAAATTTTGAAGTTAAATAGTTTGAGAACTATCCTGAAGATTTTTTTTTATTGTTTGGACGAAATCCTGAAGTTAAATTATGAAGTGGAATATAATATACATATGATTCTCATATATAACAAGTAACAACTGTCGTAATCGGAAGATCAACAAACTTATAGAATACAATACTAATTCATTCACATATTTATACTGTATAATAAGTAGATAAAATTTGTGAAGCTTATCTGATGAACAGACCAAATCATCAAAATAAGTAGGTATTGTGGTAACCAGTGGGGGATGCTCCACGTGTTCCCAGGCATACTTAAAAGAGCGTTAACATTTTTGTTACCATATTTTATACGAGTAAACTACCAAGCCTTGACCACCAAATCAATGGATTCACTTATTTTCTATTTTTTCTTATCAATATAGAAAGTATATTATGTATTCAAAACGTTTAAGCAAATAAAAAAATCAAGATAAAAAAT